CACACACACACACACACACACACACACTCTCGCACACACCTGTTTGTTTGTTGGTGAGTCGAGCGAGTGCTCGCAGCATTTCTTCTTCAGATCCCTGAAGCTCCAAACAGCAGAAATAGGACAAATCCTGAGAGAGAGAGACCTGCTACTGCTATCATGTGTATGTGCTTTATAATTATATTTAGTGTAAAAAATACATTTAAATTAATTCAATAACAAACGCGGAACAACACAGCAATTTGTCAGAGCCAACAAGAATCTCCAGATGTGAGCGAAACCTGAACAAAAAAACCTGCCCTTGGTGACGCCCTGAAAGGAAATAATGTTTTTTATTTGTATGCTTTCCTTAAAGAATGAAATAAAACATTGTTTCAGCTCTCTGCTGTTCTTCTGCGCTGGAGAAGATGATGGTTTGAGCTATAACCACTGATCTATTGGGTTGCTCATGATGTCGAACCCTAACCGAAATCTGAACACAGATTTGTGTTTTGTAACATAGTTTTGATTTGTATACTAACAACATCAATGCAGGGTCTGCGCCGGAGCACGTGTTGGACGAGGCATTGATATTGTCTGGAAATCACGAGGTGTAAGTATGTAACACTCTTCTCTGAGAAAATGACAAACATGAAGCACATGGATGCGAGCGTCACCTGCAGCAGGGCGTGCGTGTTCATGGCTCTGTAACTGGCTCTGAAGCTCTTCGCCGTGGGTTTGAGCGGCAGACAGTAGCTCCACGTCTTCAGCATGTGGAAGCGCTTGGCGTGCCAGATATGCGTCTCCAGCCATTTGTTCTTCCTCTGTCTGCGATTGAACTCCAGCAGCAGGTTCCCGTGTCTGCGGCGCGCTCGACGACTCCTGCTTCTGGGCTCCTGCTTCTTCTCTTTCTCTGGTGCACGCTGACTTCGCTCGGCCTGGACACACAAACACACGCTGTGAACGAGGTCGAAGAAAGAGACGCATGTTAATGAGTATTTGACTAGGGTTGTCAAAAGTACCAGACCGTGTGTATCTGTGTAAGCGCTCACCGAAGAGCATTAAGGATGTGCATTTACAACATGTTTCTGAAGAGATGATCATTGTAGCCAATCACAGACATATCTGATGAGTGTGTGAGCACAATGGCCAATCAGAGGCGTTTAAGAATCCGCTCAAAATGCTAGCGGGAAATGCTGGTATCGTCACATTCGTGAAAGTTCAGAACCGATTTGGTACTTTTGACAACCCTTCATACGAGCAGTCAGACTGTGCGGGACTGCTGTGAGACGGGTGTTTTGTGGGTTTCTCAGTACCAGTCTCTGAGCTCCCTCGCGCAGACGGCTCGGCAGTCTCTTGGTGCTGTGGCTCAGGGCTCGTCTGCGCATGTGCTTCGGCAGAGCGGTGAAGATGTGGCAGCTGCCTGCAGGTTTACTGACAGCCTTCAGCATAGCGTTCACTTCAGCGGCGCGCGCTTTAGCGAAGGACGAGGCTGCAGGGAGGAAGGAACATCTAAGACTTTGCTTCATTAACAGTTCGTTCACAAAAATGAATTACAGTATACACTATATTCATTTATGGAACACATTTCATCAGTTCTTGTATTTGCCGCTGCATGACTTTCTTACACGGAACTTAACAGAATCACGCAGATCTAAAGTGAACAGGAACAGACGGAGTTGTTTCGCCGCTTTCAGATCACATTAACGTCTGAGTGCAGTCAAATATGTGTGTCATAATTAGCTTGACATTTATGCAAACAACATTTTGCTTCAGGCGTGTCTCAAAACTGATCCTGCTTTAAACATCACGCACAAGTCATAAGAAGTACTTTTATGCTTTTTTTTTTGTCATTTTGTGGAGCTTGACAACCTCTGGTCACTGCTAAACACCTAATGGCAGAAGCTTTACATTTTTATTGAACTATTCTTTAGTTATGAATGTTACCTGTGATGTATTTGGGCAGATCTTGACTGTAACTGTGACCCCCAGGCTGATGACCTATGACCCAGCCGCATGCCTGTGACCCCTGACCTCTCCCGGTACCGCGACCTGTAGACGATGAGCATTCAATCAATAACACAAACGATATGTGATCAAATACATCGATATGTGCTGAATGAAGACTTTATCAGCACTGGTCACCTGAGCTCGTGTAAATGACGTTTCTCGGCTGATTCTTCATCTTTTTTTCTCTCATTCTGTCTTTTGCTCCAGTCATCTGAAACAGTTTCACTGCAGTGACTCCACCGTATGTACATTACAGGCCATAGCATAGAGAAATGATTACACACACACACACACACACACACACACACACACACACACACACACACAGACACACACACAGACACACTGTAGGGCAATAGAATATACGGTCTGTGCAGTATAAAAACCATTACGCCTATGGAGAGTCCCCACTTTTCACAAAAACAAACCTGTGTGAGTGTGTGAGAGAGTGTGTGTGTGTGTGTGTGTGAGAGAGAGTGTGTGTGTGTGTATGAGTGTGAGAGAAAGTGTGTGTGTGTGTGTATGAGTGTGTGTGAGAGAGTGTATGTGTGTGTATGAGTGTGAGTGTGTGTGTGTGAGAGAGTGTGTGTGTGTGTGTGTGTGAGAGAGAGTGTGTGTGTGTGTATGAGTGTGAGAGAAAGTGTGTGTGTGTGTGTATGAGTGTGTGTGAGAGAGTGTATGTGTGTGTATGAGTGTGAGTGTGTGTGTGTGAGAGAGTGTGTGTGTGTGTATGAGTGTGTGTGTGTGAGTGTGTGTGAGAGAGAGAGTGTGTGTGTGTTAGTTACAGTTGCAGTTACAGTTGATTGAGTTGACTCTAATTTCTGTCTGGCTCTCACTGATTTTACTGAGATCCGCTGCAATGTTCTCCAGATGACCACACATCTGCACACTGATCTTTATGAAAGACAAATCACTACAAAAGTATTTTATTAGTAACAGTATTTGTATTTATTCTGTGCACATATAAATGTAAAAAAGACACATACAGGAGACGTGCAGAGATCATGTCATAGTTCATTAAAAGCTTGATTTATTTGTATAAAGAGCTCAACTTTCATGTTTTCACACTGATTTGATTCACTGAGCAACTGCTTTCCTTCCAGTGTCACAGATTTAAAGCTGATGAGGTTTATTAGTGCTCCAGTAACTATCAGTCACCACAAACAATACTAAAATAACCCAACAACATATACTATTGATTAATATACTATCGTTTGCCTTTGATTAATGCAAGTAAAGAGTCAAACTGCTTTACATCTGCAGTCTGAGGAGAAAGATGCACTAAATACATAAAAGAGACGAAGCCCTTCTCACCCATTAAAAGACACATTATTAAGAATAATTTGGCTAATTTTGGCTCGTGTTTGTTCAGATGAGTTAATACTGTTGTTGAGTTTGACTCAGTTGAAGATGAGGACATGATGCTGTGATTTTATCCAGAGGCACAAGCATTCGTCCCACGCTCGGCCGGTTACCCACGGGACCCGTGCTCTCAGAGGCATTTCTGTGGCTTTTAGCAACAATGCTAATGATGCTAACGCTACTTAGAAACACTAATTTATGTACAAACTTATGTGAAGCCCAAACCCTCATGTCTACTGAAATAAAAGGCACATCTTACAGCATCACACTGCCATCAATCTGCAGGTTCTGTGGATTTCAGATCAGCTCCATCTTCACCGACCACTGAAACACAAACATAAAGGTTAGCACAAAAGAGCTTGTGCTTATTTCATTCAAACAAAACAGTTTCATGATATACAAATGAGACCCACATAACTCAGACCCACATACTGATGAGGAAACTATTCCATATCAATGGCTTTAGATATGCTCATTCATCTGCATATATTTTTAGCAGAAATCATTGGCTGTAGTGTGAAGACAATGATCTGAAAACTGCAGTTTGAGGGTTTGACCTCTGACCCCTGCAGGAGCGTCTCACCAGCTGCATCTGCTGCGCTCTCCTCACCGGCGGCTCCTGCAAACACACAAGAAACATGCTGCTTATTTCTGTCCGTCAGCAGCAGCAACCGTTTCAGAACAATATACATCAGAACCATTCCGATTCTGTACAGACGCGTGTTGAGCTGATGCTTTGCTGTTTTATACTCGTTTGCAATTCTTTAATACTATATTTTCATAAACTGGAATATACATATGCACCATACTGCATCTCTGGTGCACTACATGTGTTCTGAATGATCAATAATCTTCAGATCTTCAGTCAGATCTTTAAGAAGTCAGTGACATTCGCCCGTCTGTCTCTGTAACTAAACCTGCTACACTGACCCTAACTAACCCTAACCGGGAGACCAGTCTTCAGGTGTTTCACAGAGACGTTTGGTTTGAGATCTTCACCTGCAGTAAGTTTGTTGTTCTTCTACGTGTGGTGTTTGTCAGGGTGTCTGTGAGCGTCAAAACAATAACAGTCAGCCCAAATAAGCGGGAAAAAAACACAAACACGCATGTAGTGAATTCAGTGTTTCACTCTCACACACCTGCTCATATTTCAAACAAATGGTTGTATCAGAATCAAAATATGAATACCGATTTCCATTCAAGCTTGTGTTAAGCAGTACTGTGGCACGGCCCAGCACCGTGTGTCTCAAACCACTGCCATCATCGCAGGACATGCGAAGCGCTCATCTGACATAATCTGAGGCAACAGAGAGAAAGATTATTGTGGTTTCTGTGAGTGACGAAGCATCGAGGCTGTTGTGCACGGTGCAGATGTTCAGTGTGCTGGTGGGTCGTATTGTCTTTGTCTAGACTGCAGTGAACTCTACTCAATCTCTGTTCTGTTACCCAGCATCAGTTATACACTGCCTTACTACAGTGCGTGTAGTGACCAGCGCTTTATTTTACTGCTCAAGCATCCTGTCATCTGATGCTTTGTTCCAAAATGATCAGAAACATCATTTAAAAGTAGAGGTAGTTTCTGCAGATGTGTTATTAATTAGAGCTCATTTCTGGATTTCTGACCCAGACAGTGTCTAGAGCTGATCTGCCCATGTTCCCATGCATTACCCTCTGGAGCGACTGCGCCGGTCTCTTTCTCCTCTGCAGACTGTGAGATCACTGCTGCCTCAGTCGCTTGGGCTGGACTCGGTTCCTCAGCCGTGGGTTCTGGAGCTGGACTCGGTTCCTCAGCCGTGGGTTCTGGAGCTGGGCTTGGTTCCACTGCAGCGTGTTCTGGAGACACAGTCAGATCCTCAGCAGGAGCTGGTTCTGCACTCGGGACCGGTTCAGACACAGTGAGTTCTGGAGCAGGGCTTACTTCGGCTGGAATGGGTTCTGGAGGTGCAGGTAGAGCTGATTCTACATTCGGGTCGGGTTCCACTGGAGTGGGTTCTGGTGCTGGAGTGGACTCTACATTCAGGGGAAGCTCCACTGGACCTGGTTCTGGAGCTGCGGTTGGCTTCGCTTCAGGAACTGTTTCTGCTTGCTCCAGTGTGGGCTCCGAGCTCGCGTCTGATGGGGCTTCTGGAGCTGCTGTTAGCTCAGCTGGCTTGGGTTCTGGAGTGCTGGTGAGATCTGATGCTGGTTCCACAGCTAGAGAGGGTTCTGCAGGCGTAGTGTCACTGGGTTCTGACGCAGCATGCTCTTCAGCAGGAGCTTCAGGACTTGATGTTTCAGGAACGTCTGCTGGATCTCTCTCCTCCAGAGGAGCATTACTAGCGCTGACCGTTGTCTGCTCTGCTTCTGAAGCCTCAGACTGGACATCTTCGACCGTCTCGTCCGGTCCGGCACCCAGCTCATCCGGCAGAGCGCTTTGAACTGGCAGCTGCATCTGATCCGAGACAGTCTCGCTGTCTTCTGCTACAAGCCCATTACGAGAGACTGGCAAAAAATACAAGCAGGGAGGAAATAAAGTTTATAAACATGCATTAAACATGCAAACATAATTGTCTGTCATCCAAATAAATTATTTCTTTTAGTTTCTCAATGTAAATAATATAAAGAGTTCTCCGTTTTCTTGACCCACTGTGTAAATTGTGCACAGAAATAAACTCAGACCACATGGATCTCAAGATGCTTCTTGACAGAATTATTCAGTTTTTCATCAAACCCCTGAGTAACTATACACGTGCTTTTGTTCATACAGGCGGCAAAAATCAAATCAGAGTCAAACCCATTTAGCTATTTGTAGTATGAACAGTACATCCCAAATCTTATTATTATTATTATTTTTTTATATTTCAGTTTGATTGGTTAAAGGAGGAATAGGTTTTTATTAGCATTCTAGTCACAGCATGAGAACATGACTTTATGTCAAGCAGCAGCAGCAGCAGCAGTAAATTCACCATCTACACACACACACACACACACACACACACACACACACAGGTTTGTTTTTATGGTTTATGGGGACTCCACCACAAGCACACACAAACACACACACACACACACACACACACACACACAGAGACACGCACACACAAACACACACACACACACAGAGACACAGAGACACGCACACACAAACACACACACACACATTTATTTATTTTTTTAAATATTTCAGTTTGATTGGAGGAATAGGTTTTTATTTATTAGCATTCTGGTCACAGCATGAGAACATGACTTTATGTCAAGCAGCAGCAGCAGCAGTAAATTCACCATCTACACACACACACACACACACACACACACACACACACAGAGACACGCACGCACACACACACACACACACACACACACACACACACACACATGCTTGTTTTTATGGTTTATGGGGACTCCACAGGCGTAATGGTTTTTATACTGTACAAACCGTATATTCTATTGCCCTACACCAACCCTACCCCTAAACCTACCCCTCACAGGAAACTTTCTGTATTTTTAGATTTTCAAAAAAATTCATTCTGAATGATTTATAAGCCTTTTGAATTACGGGGGCACTGAAAATGTCCTCATAAATCACCTTCTCGTTGTAATACCTATGTCATACCCATGTTATTATACAAATGTGTGTCCTCATA